CAGCAGTGCTGCGGCAGGAACGACCAGCAAAATCGGAATCTAAATAAATTAACCGCGGATCGGGTTAGCCTAGAAAGCGCACGGTTGTTGGTCGCGCGGAAAAAGCGCGATGATCGGGACGCAAGGCCGATGTAAGTTGTAGGCAAGAACCGTAAATTTCTAAACAAAATCATAAAAAATATGAAGTTTAAAGTTTGATTTTCATGCGTCCGTTATCCGTTTTGATACGATCACAGATTATATTATACAGATTATAAACTTATCGTCAAAATCATTGTATTTCGTGGTTCCAATTTTCGGAGTCGCGCACTAATTGGGTTACTAGTTTGCGCACAAGCACTCCCACTTATGGCCTCTAAAATTGTAAACAGCGCCCTTGTGACCGGCCCAGTTATTACGCTGTTTAAACAGGAGTTTATTTTTGCGCACAAGAAAATTTACTCGTTTGCTCATCGTAATAAAAAACAATTTTCGCACCACGAATTAGGGACAAGATTTTTATCTGTATACTTATAGGATACCTAATCTGTGATACGATAGTCCGACGGCGCGGCACTCTGATTGGTCATAGCGTTTTCGCGCCACTTTTCATCCGTAAATTTTTTACTCCACTCCGACAAAGGAGAAAGAAAGTCAACACGTACGATAAGTTACGTTTTGACGCTTTTTTGACAAATTTAATACACCAGTGTCGATATGACATAGTCACTAAATATCTAAATAATAAAATTATATAAGGATTCTTGCCACTTAACTGCTAATATAGAAATTTAATTCTACGCTGTGTTTGTCATAATGCGGATCAACCTGCTCTCACTACCGGTTTCGGAGCCCTACTCCATCATCAGGTGAGCTTAATTCCGACTTGTCGGAAAGTATCGACTCTGACTTGTCGAATCGTATCCCAAGCTCACCTGATGATGGAGTAGGGCTCCTAAACCGGTAGTGAGAGCAGGTTGATCCGCATTATGACAAACACAGCGTAGAATTAAATTTCTATATTATCAGTTAAGTGGCAAGAATCCTTATATAATTTTATTATATACCTCTACTGCAAGAAATTTGTTTTCTATTTTATAATTTGGCTTGCCTGAAAAAAAACTTTTTACCATCCTTTTACTATCGATAGTTGCGCCTCGGTGGTACGAAAGTACTACCATTGCACGCAGGCCGCTATCTCCCGTTCGGGACTTAATATCTAACCGATACTTTCCGACAAGTCGGAATTAACTATCTCTGCGCTGTGGTTGTCATTTTGTGGATCTCCCAAGCTCACCTGATTGTGGAGTAGGGCTCCGAAACCGGTAGTGAGAGCAGGTTGATCCGCATTATGACAAACACAGCGTAGAATTAAATTTCTATATTAGCAGTTAAGTGGCAAGAATCCTTATATAATTTTATTATATACCTCTACTGCAAGAAATTTGTTTTCTATTTTATAGTCACTAAAGCCACCTCGTGATTTTAAAAACAACATCATAAAGTAATGACAATGGCGGCACGTGGGTATAAAAATAAGTGGAGTTAACTTTTTTAAAACTGCGGCGCAGGAGAAAATTTTTTTGGCGCATTCACCATTTTGTCAACATTTTTTAAATTATTATTTGAAACGTTTTTGGTGTATTCAGCATTTTGTCAACATTTTTTCTTGTTATTATTTATACACTAATACCTATAATATTTTCCTTTTAGTTTGGGCTAAAACGCATTAAGTAAAAAGAGATACAACCAGTTTTCGATAAACACATTATTTTGCCTTTCAGTGAAAATATAAATACATTTAAATTAAATGTAATAAAAATTATATACAGTGTCCACCATAAAGTTGGATCCATATGGACGTTTTTTTTATATTACCTAGAGTTTTAAAATTTTTTGTTCTGAATGGTTTTCGTATCTCCACTACAACGTTTTTAATTTTTTCATAATATTGTTTAATTTCCAAAGGGCTTATTTCAATTAATATCTTTACTAACTCCTTAAAATTTCCTCTGTTCACTGAGTCAATCCTTTTCATCATGCCCACGAAAAGGCAAATCTTGCTTGCTTACATATAAGACTGCTTGAATAACTACCCGTAAACAAAGTCGATTTAAACGAACATTTTCATTAAAATTAAGCTTATAGAGTTTAACGTTTTTTTTCTAAAGCATCGGCAATTGTATTTTGATTTTTTTTAATTTCTTAGCATTAACTGACATTTTAAATGTTCTGCGGAATCCCTGTCTTTATGCAAAGATCTTGTTATATTTACGAAATCAGTGAACTCTTCTTTATTTCAAATGCCATGTTTATTGGAAAATAGTAAACATGACCAACAAAATAATTTTTGTAAAACAATGCTAGTGCATAGCCAATTAAAATCAGAAAACCAGGAAGAATTTATGGTTAAAGATTCAGTTGGTCGTCCTTGAGATAAAACATCCTTCTTATCTTCATCTGTTCACCGTCTGAAGGGAGTCTCCAATAAATTGCACACCAAGTCATTAATTGGGTTCATTTTTTAATACATACACACAAAACAGTTTTAAAACAGAACAACAAAACAAACAGCAAAAATTAACAAGTAGTTAAATCAACAAAAACTACTAACAAACAACAATAAATAATCAATAACAACTTTACAGTCTTTACACTACGCGCCGGCGGCGGCGTTTAGGTTGTTGCCAACCGCCACGCATTTCCTGATCAATTAAGTTGAAGGAAGACGAAGCGAACTGCCCAAAAACTCATTCACATCGGTCGCTGATAAAAAATTTCGGGGTGGGGGATTTACACGCTGCCGCCTGTGCTGCCGCTAGGCTGACGTTACGTTACCATGGAAACCGTGCAGTCGCTTGGCTCACAAATATTTTCACTTCACTTGTGGCTTCGCGGAAACATAGGCGCGTGCGGGCCAATAAAGGAGGGCGCGCACTGCATCGGATCGGACCGACCAGCAAAAGCGACTGCGACCATCGTACATATAGACGGCGCCGGCGTCCACTAAAACATTTCGGCCTGTAGAGGCCAGATTCCTACCTATCTACGATAGTCGAGTCACCGCCTTCGCCGTTTCTCGCCGGACTGGTACCGATTCAGTGCGCGTACACCTTAAGGCTCCGCGCGCACTGCATCGGATCGGACCGACCAGTGAACCTATTATGCAGAGGTCCGCCCGGAAAAAAAAAATAATTTATAAAAAATTACCATTTTATTATTTAGATACAAGTAAATATATTAAACTAAATTAATATTTTAAGCAGTAAAGTTTTTTCTTTAATTTGAGTATTTTTCCGGTGAAGTGTCCCTTCACCTACTGCACCTGACGAGCCGCCACTGAGTAATGATAGTTAAAAAAACTGCAAATTATTGGTGGCAAGTTCATTTCGCGCTTAAAAATTAACCAGCGCATGTGTTGACACTAGAGCAACGTACAGCAAGGCAAAACCTGTGCAAAGTACAGAGACTGGCATGTATCTGTATCACAGGTGCCATGAGAACATATCCAACAGCAGCAATGGAGGTCATTTTAGACCTAACACCACTGCATATTGTCGTCGGTAGTTATGCCAATGCGACAATGATTAGAATGGTTATTGGCGGAAACAGTACTGGGAGAATTTTTAGGTCAGTGGCTTGGAACACATTCAAAAAGAAAAATAAATAAATACCAAGAATTTACAACTTTGAGAAACACCTCACTGTAGTATTTAGTAATAAAAAGGATTGGGGAAGGAAGAAACGCTTACTCAGCATATAAAAGACCATACCAAAACGTGGTATACTGATGCTTCCAAAACCAAAGCAGGGACAGGGATAGGAGTATTTGGGCCGAAAACCAAATACTCCGAACCAATGGGCACCTACCCCAGTATCCTTCAGGCAGAAATTTACGCTATCGAAAGGTGTGTACAATTTATCTTAGATAGGAACTATCGAAAACAGGAAATTGCCATCCTATCCGATAGTCATGCAGCACTAAACGCGATCAACTCAGTAACCATCAATTCGAAGTTGGTCAAAGAATGCCTAGAGAAGCTCAACAAGTTGTGCAAAGAAAATATAAGTCCTCCTACTGTGGGTGCCTGCTCACCAAGGGATAAAAGGCAATGAAACAGCAAATGATCTAGCTAGGAAAGGAGCGAACACTCCACTAACTGAACCAGAACCGTTCTGTTTTCAAAGCGGAAACCAACTGAAAGCGGAACTGAAGAATCTGGAAGACTCCAACCGCAACTTGGAATGGGTGTCCTCCAACGGTCTAAGACAATCGAAAAAGTTCCTCAGAACCTGAAAGGAAAATCAAAGGTTTTCCTTGATTTAAGTAAAAACAATCTTCGGATTGTCACGGAGTTTCTAACAGGACACTGTCTCCTCAACGAACACCTCAGTAGGCTGAAGCTGAGAAACAACGCCGAATGCAGATTCTGTGGGGAATATGGGGAAACACCAGAACACCTCATCACTGAGTGCGCCGAGACGACGACCATTCGTGCCATGAACTTTGGCTGATGTCAAGGATGGAGAGCTGGCCTCTGTGGAGCCGTCTCAGATACTGGCTTTTGTTAAAGCCTTGAGACTGTTTGATGAGTTATAACTCGTTATAACTCAAGAAAGGGGAACACACAATAGATCTTTAAGGTCGCGGTAACTAACTCCCCTCCTAAACATTCTACATGTATTGACACGAGTAAAAAAAAATGTTCAAGAGACATGGTTCCGATCGAAAAATAATGTTTTAGGAAAAGCTACTCACGAAAGTATTGCACAGGGTGTTTTAAAGTTAGGATAAAAAAACTTGATACATCACAAGCACAGGAGGATATGCATGAGACGCTGAAAACATTCATCTTTTGTCGCTTGCTTCTGTAAGAATCAACATTTTCCTGCAACTTGGCAGTATTTCAGAATTTTTCCTCTTATAATATTCTCAGGTTCTTGCCTGCTACCTTTACCGCGCTTCCTCTTACCTGTTCCACCACGGCATTCTTGATTTTAACAACGTACCTGTCGACGATTCGAGATTCAGTTCGGGCAGCGCTCGACTATCGCTGAGTCGCGCGCGCAACGCTTGGAAAAATAAAAGCAACGCGTCGTCAACAAAACAGAGTCCGCCTACTCTTGTTGCGTTTGTTGTTTTTTTTTTCGAATCTTCTTCAGAGTTCAGAGTTCTAGCCAGTTTAAAATCGATTCTTCGCAAAACGTTTTCGCAGATTTTTGACTGATTTAAGAGAAACAGTGTAATACGGTGGTGAATTTTTGACTTTTTCTTCTCGCGTTTTAAAGTTGAATGATCTCCGTGCTGCTGTTGCGTCCGATAGACGAAGGAATTTTTGACAGTTTGGCTTGGATTATTAATAGTGGTGGCCTTTTTTAATTGGTGAGTTAACGGTTTTGTACTCTAATTTCAGTCTAATAAGGTATTAATTGGAGAAAGAACGGTTTTTAATATATGGTAGGGATGCACGATGCTTTCAATAATATCGATTCGTTTTGGTTTAGAATGTAAATCATTAAAATCGATCAAAATCGATATTCGGTATAATGCGTTGATAAATTATAATATTTGTAGTAAAGGCTCACCTACATTATATCATTTTTAATGACCATCTTAGAGGAATCATTCAAAGTGATACCTAACTGTAGATTGACTCAAATTTTATGTTTCATTCAAAGTGTACAGGGTGGGTCAAATTCGACGCTTTTAAATGGAAACACCCTTTTCTATAGGAGATAGACCAAAACTAATATCGGTGTCTGGAGCTCAATTTTCATCAAAAACATGATGGTGAAAACCGCACATCAATATCTGTTACCGTTTCAGCCTTCTTATTTTCTGATCGTTGCGTTTTCAAATCGATGTAACCTCGTATCTATGGAATATCTTATATTTCTACCGAAAAGATTTCCAAGGCACCTGTCATTTTTGAAATATAATCCAAACTTCTGTTTTTTAAATGGGATGCCCTGTATATGTATTCTTTATTTTCTTACTGTTATGAGCTTTTTACGTAGAATTTAATGGTTTAAGTATTTTTTTTTTAAATTAATAATTTAAAGTTATCAACAGAAAAATTGATTTTTTATTTGGGACACCCTCCATATTTTTAATTAACTGAAAAGAATTTAAAATTACCTTTCCAAAAATATAGCACACTTGATATTTTGTTATAATCCTCTTCGAAATACAGAATTTTTAAAAGTTCGTCACTTTTAACTAGTAGGCTTTGGACCTCTTATTGATGATATACCTCTAATGGAACTCGAAAACATATTTTTCCAGCAAGACGACGCACCGGCTCTGAACGCTGAAGTTATTAGCAAATTTTTGCAGCCAATTTCAAGAATATTTGAATAGCCAACCAAGATCCCAGCCGTTGGCCGTCGAGGCCGCCTGACTTAGTGCTCATGGATCTAATCCTATTGATATATTTGCGAAAAAATAAAAGTTCCTTATTCTTCCGTATAATCTAGACAAGAATTAGAAATACTTAGAAGTTATGAGAGGGTATCTTTCACCCCCACTGAGTTAATGAATTCCGCGAGAAATGTTCAAAAACTGCCCCGTCAGTCCATAACAGAAGACGGTCGATATGTTGAACACCTATAGCAAAATCTCATGTCTTGGTTTGCTATTTATTTTTTTTGTTATTAGATATAGTTTAAATGTGTTGATGTTGGTTAAATATATTTTAAATTGTTATAAAATTCTGCATCTCTCATAGGAAATATTATTTTCGTTTTAATTGATGCTCACAGCTAGAATTTTTTTGCATTACAGCCGGTGCCGTTCAAAGCCTACTTATTGAAAGCGGCCGGATTTGTATATACTCTATATCTCGAAGAGGAATCGAGCAAAAGATCAAGTATGTTATATTTTTGGAAAGGTAATTTTAAATTCTTTTCAATAAATTAAAAATATACAGGGTGTCTCATATAAAAAATCAAATTTTTTGTTGATAATTCTTAAAATATTAATTTTAGAAAAATTATACTTAAACCATTAAATTCTACGTAAAAAGGTGCTTTGGAAATGTTTTCATAAAAATACAAAATTTTCCATAGCAAAAGAGTTACAGCGATTTGTTAAAAATGCATATTTTTGAAAAACACTCCGTAACTCCGAAACGGTAACAGATATCGATATGCGGTTTTCACCATCATGTTTTTGACAAAAATTGAGCTCCAGACACCGATATTAGTTTTAGTCTATCTCCTATAGAAAAGGGTGTTTCCATTTAAAAGCGTCGAATTTGACCCACCCTGTACAGGGTGTCCCATTTTCGTGTGTTTTACAGGGTTTCTCCTTTATAGAGAGGTAGAAAAATGCGGTTTTCATATACTGTGCTACTTTTTTTATAAATCTAAAGATGCTGTACATATATTTTTCCTAGCCTTCTTATTTCCTGATCGTTGCGTTTTCTGATTCCCCTCGTATCTCGGTTATCTTATAACTTACCGAAAAGATGAAGGGGAGCTGTCATTTTTGAAATATAATCCAAACTTCTGTTTTTTAAATGGGATGCCCTGTATATGTATTCTTTTTTATTTTCTTTGCATTGTTATGAGCTTTCTAAAAATATAACTATCAAAGTTTACAGAAGTATATATTCTGTAAACTTTGATAATATACTCTATACTTATTCTAAGCTAGTTTCTGTGTGTGAAATTATTGCACAAATGCACCAAATATGTCAATAACTCTGATTGGCAGCCATGTTATCTAAAAGCTGCCCAAGTTCATTTTCAGTGCAGTTTATTAAGATAACACGATGGAAAGCAAAATCGATCTCTGGTTAAATTAAATTAAATAAACAATACTCTTTTAAACTACGTTGATTTATGTTAAAAGGTTAATTAATGCATTTTTTAATACAAATAGTGTCATTGCCATTTAAAACAAAATATTTTTGAATCATATTTCGAAAATGACAACTCCCGAAAAAAAAACTAGTTACGCCACTGGATTCTACGTGAAAAACTCTACGGGACTTAGTTTTCACTTTTTCGATAAGTTATAAGATAAGAAAGATACAATGGAGGTCGAAATTTGGAACATAATATGCATGAATATGATGTGTGCAACATATTTAGTTTCATAAAAAAGTAGCATAGTAATGTGTAAACCGCATCTTTGTCTCTGTTCTCATAAGCAAGAAACTTCATAAAACAAACGAAAATGGGACATCCTGTATAATGTATACTAAAGAAGAACCAAATAATTTTGCACAAAAAAACATTAAATCTAAAAATGATTTATAAGAAAATTCGTACTTAGTTTTCCAAAAAATTTCATATCTTGTTATTAGTCCAGGAGGCAGTGAAGATTTTCGTTACTTATTTTGCCAGTCAGGCAAACATCGATAGAATTATTCGGTATGTTATTATAGGAAAATTTCATATATATGTAGGGGAGTTTCCGATGGGTTGAGGCGGAAAATGCGTAAGAGAGTACAAATATACTACACTTTTTTATCCCGCAATAAAAATAGTTCTATTAGTGAGAATCAAAAATTTGATAAAAATTATGGAAACCATTGCCATCATTTTCGCAGTCCGAAAAATTTGCCAGATGATAGTTTATATTATAATTACACCTGCAAATATAGTCTGACTAATGTGGAACTTCCTCAAAGCCTTGCCAGACTCGTCCAACGTTCGTCAGGCGCGTTAAAGGTAGTATCAGACACAGCTACTTTTGTTGCGCAATTTTTTTTGCAGCCGCTGCAAAAGTTGCATACAGTGTTCATACATCAGCAGAAAGTAGCCCAAAACGCGGACTTTTTATGCAGCAGCAGCCTAAAAAGGTTGCAGGTCGACACTACATGCTTTTCATATGTTCACACCACAGCGCTACTTTTGCAACATATTTTGGTAGCAGCAGCCTTGGAGGGGCAACATTCAACAGTACACCATACACCACCCGTAGAATCTGTTGTTGTATTTTTGTCATTGTGATAAAACATGAATTGCAACATGTCGTAAAATTCCCATTTTGTTTTGTAGGTTTCGTCTGCTCCGCAACCAGATTTGGAACTTTTCATTTTTGAACGTTCTTTCGAATATTATGCATGCAACGTATGAATTTTCTTTTTATGTCTTTATTTATTTTTTATAAAATGGACTTTTTACGTTCCATAAACACTTCCTTACTTCTACGTTCTACCGCTTCTATTAAACATTTTACTTGTTCTCTGTTCCAAATCGCTTGTTTTGACTTCGACGACATCGCAATTTGTCGGTTAATTCTTTACTAAATACCTACATATAAATCCTAGAGTTAACTGAAAAAAAGTGTATACATTTCGGGCATACCAACAGAATACTACCTTCGATATCCGCAGTAAAAGTTTCAACTGATTAGTAATCTTTTGCTGCACTGGCAACCTTCCTCAACAACTGTTTACACACGGCTATTTCTTAAACTGCGCGCAACAAAAAAGTAGCCTACGCATCCAAGCTGCGATCGCAACGTTGCAGGTTGCCTAGGTATTCACACTTGCAGCAGATCAAATTGCGCAGTTTTTTAATATGCTGCGCAACAAAAGTAGCTATGTCTGATGCTACCTTGTGTGTGAGTCTGGCGGAGCTTTCGTGATTGTAAATGACAGCCACACGTGTATTTTCTATGAAATTATATTTATTTATTAATTATTATCAATTATCACGTGACAAATTTTCAGATCCGAGAAAATAAGAGCAACAATTTTTGCAATTTTCAAGGTGCCCCCAGAATCATTTGCCAATTTCGTAAACTAGCCAGACTGGCTTTTGATTATGGTTTATGATAGTATCAAGTGGTACGTTAAATTTCAAGCATGGAAAAATAAGGGTTACGGATTTCAAAAATCTGTCAAATTTTTCAATCCGCAAATTTTCAGCCAGACTGACTTTCCTCCACTTGGGATGTGCCCGACTGTTATTTCCATTAATAAAATGATTCAGTTTAATAAATGTCAAATATTTATGACTGGAAAAATTAGTGGACTTTTTTTTCTTGTAGGTATCTAATGAATCCTGCCTCCTGGACCATATTTTTCGCATTAAAAATATCGAATATTAGACAGTATCGATATCTTGAAAAACCGTATCCTATGGTACATCTCTAATATATCTATAGGCTCCGATCATTGAGTATAAGAAAGTTGTCTTTTATATTCGGCCTTTTAAAGGTGTGGTGCATTTCCAAAGAAGCTATTAATATTAACTATAGAGTTTAGTGTTAATTACAGAATATATTAGGTGTTTTGAACAGCCCTGTAACGTTTTCTTAATTAAACATCAAATAAGTACGTGAATATATAGAAAAAAAAACGTAATTTTGTCTATATTTGGTTGCGTGGAATATAAATGAATGAATATCTAATAGGGTTTTCACTA